GATTAGGTTTAGAACTTTCGATCATTACGCGTCGGATCGAGAAAACGTACGTGCGCTATTACCACGAGTACTCAAGATCTCCAGAGTGATTTGCACGTGATAATGCACGATTATTAGCACATCTGCAAAATCGAGGTACTGCGCCGTATGTACGGTACACTGCTGTACGTATGTGTATCAGTATGTACTACGCAGAAGCACCTGCTGCAGGCACCGGGGTCCATGCATCATATGGGTCCAAAAAAACGAAATATTCCTGGGGCTAATGATGAGGCGTAACGTAACGTAATGGCAGTAGTATTCTCGCTGTGATTGGCCGCAGCGCTGCATCTGATCGATCTCGCTAGGTGCTATCGGCACAGGTTCGTACCCGATCTACTCTCGCAGAGACCCGCAGAAGATCTTGGCGCACGATCTCGTCCAATTAGTAGGGTATCTACGTGTAATAAAATGTGTGGTCCGGGGGACTGTCAGATTTAGTGGTTAGTGGAGAAAAATGCTGTACATTTTAGCTGATAAGCCGGCTAATAAGTTTAAGCAAACAAGCCTTTTACCGCCGTGGGGGTAATCAATTCTTAGAGTGGGAAAAGCAAGAGCGCTCCTGAACTATGGGTGTCATCTCGGTCTCGATCTCCTAGGGGCTCAGAACATGCTATTTTTATGTCTCTGAACCTGATTCTAAGCGGCATCTAGCTAGGTCTAAACTCAAAAAATATCATTTTCGGTCCCAAAATAGAGTTCCAAGGTATCATCTTATTCCAAACATATCCTAAACCGCTCTCCATACTGACATCATATCCTGAACTGCTCTCCATACTGACATGTTATGCTGATCTTGTATTGACATGGATTCATCACTCGTGAGGTTCATATGTCAGATCCATCTTTATTCTTGTGCCCTCCTTCTCCACATCCTCTCCCCCCCCCCCCGTTGCTTACGCACCGTGTTGGCATCCCTTGTTTTCTTCCTCGTCGTTGTGCTCTCCTTCCCCGTCATTGCCCTGCCCTCATGTTGTAGTAGAAGGGCGAAGTGGATTGAAAAAATTGCCATTTTTTCAAATTTGTATTTTCAGATAAAATTATCCAAATAGCTCAGTTAAAAGGTTTCTCCCCCGAACCCACTCTTCCAAAAGGAGTGGAATGGTTGAGACAGCTATAAAAACTTTACTGAAGGCTCGACAAACTACTCAATCGGTTAATTCCCTTCGGAAAGAAATCCTCACCGCCCCCCTAAGGGGGACTTTATTTATTAAACGTCTTTCGTAAAATCTATACCACCCCCTAACCCCCCTCTCTAGGGGGAACTCGCTCCGAGAAACTTCCCTGAAAGAAAGGTTTTTCTAAGCAGCTAGGGTAGGTGCTTATCTGTCGCCAAAGAAGGAAAAGCGTGGTGGACCTGTCATATGCACTTGTCGACCCATGTTAGCGCACAGTCAACAAGTACCATTGTATTGTTAGTGCACGTTTGGACTTGGATAACAACTATAGCCAAATTTAGATATATGAAAATGACATTTTCTAAGTTACATGACATAGATGACACTCCGAGCCAAATTTAAAGACCCCAAAATGACATTTTCTGAGTTTGGAGATCCTGATGACACAGCCTTGCCAACTTTTCAGTGTACATAGATAAGTATATATAGTATGGTATGTAGAGAGCATGCATGCAGCGCACACTACGGCACGCGGCATTGTTTTACCTGTATGTTTTAGATCAAAACCGTACCCCCACGACACACGAGGATACCAGATCGAGCTTATAAAACAGAGTTTAGCCTGCCTTATAACCCACAGATTAAGCAACCAGTTTACAATCCTCTCCCTCTAGTACTTCAAAGAATTAACAGAAAGAGCCTCATCAGTTCAACACGCTGACAACCGGTGCGTCATGCCTGGTCTCCACCATCATCGTCAACGTTCATCTTTGATCCTCGTCCTTGAGACGGGATGCAACATTATATGCATATTACGAATTAAATCAAACAGTGTACATGCAAGAATCCATGTTTAATTCTCTAAACTCTGACGCAAGCATCCGCGCACAAACAGGAACAGCACCTGTATCTTGGTACATTTTGCTATGCACGACGCGTGTATGATGTACACTCGACGCTACCATCTCCGTGTATCTCGAATAATGCATGTGCATGCCACGCTGCATGCGCTGCTGACCTGCATGCATGCATGCAGGCATTCGAAATATGGAGATACAGCAACGTTACGTACGTACGTGCCCCCAGGCACACGTATGGCCGTACAACAGTGTGTCCCCGGCTCCCCCACATGCGCATCCATGCATGCGTACGTGGTGCCCCTTATGGCCTTACGACATGTACAACCCACAGATAGCATGTTGTTTGTATGATGATGTCACGACACATATAGACAGCTAAACAGACAGCGCATCGTTATTTGTTTAGCTGTTTATGATTCTTTAATGTCTGCATCTAGTCATGACCAAGTGTAAATATGATTCATATATACCATTGCGTCGCTCGTTGATAAAAAAGATGAGAAATAAGTAAGGTGATCATGGTTGCAATATTTTTTAAAACCATGAATATAAATGATATATTAATATATTTATATACTTAATAAACAACTTATACAATAGGTTATTTTATTTAGGTGTCTACTGGATATTATTGTGTTGCTCCTTGATACAAAATAAATCACGCATCAATAAGATAAACATAATACAATATTTTAGAATCATCAAAATAAATAATATAGCAATATATTTATATATAATATAAACTAAGCAAAAAATAAAGTTTGAGAGATTCTATTTTATATTTAGTGATATGGATAAAAAGTTTGTTGATCAAGTACAAACAAGAGTATTTAATTTTATTTGAGGGTCCACAAGCATTTCAATTTGACGATGATTTGATTGATGGGATGGCACTGCAACCAGAAGGTGTGCAACCGAAGATTATCAGCTTGCCATGGGTAGATTTTAGCTTGTCATGGCTCGCAACACCATTCACTGGCCATAGCATGCGCACACTGGATCTGTACAACGAGAATATGAGCGTTGGAGCACGAACCACAGCCGGCGCCTCGCCAAACGACAGCCAGGTTCTCTTTCTTCATTTAATCAAGCAACTTTGTATCGTTTAGTGCGTACAGACGACATCAAAACATGCGTTGTACGTGCCCTTATGGCCCGCACAAATAAGGATAGTAGTTGTTCTAAAAAAAGATATATAGGCAGAGCTAGCTTTTTTTCGTCTAGCATCTTTCTTTTATTAGTTGAAAAAATGTTTTATCATAAAAAAGTTCGTTCATTTGTTTGGTTCTTATACTTCCCTTTTTCTCAATATAGTAGCTTTATTTTTCCTTTTTAAAGATATTTTTCTCTATTTTATCATCGTTATTATATTCTTTCTTTAAAGGACATGGCCGCCTCTTTGCCATCATAGTTTTTTAGTGTTCCTGGGTAATTTTAAACCCTTATTTTTGAGAGTTTACATTTTTATTTTTTTCTCTTTCATTGATTGTTATATATTTCTATTACAACTCTTTTCAGTCCTAGCTCAATGGCCCGGTTTTTGTGAAAGTTTTACAAGCAGGCCAATGCATCCGTGAGGCATAGAGCACTACCGGAAACAGTGACTTTGCCGTGTGCTACGGGCACTCGGCGAAGACAAAAAAAAAACATTCGGCAAAGGCTTTGCCGAGTGTAACACTCGGCAAACAGCACACGACATCTACAGTGTCGGCGAACAGCTATTTATCGAGTGTTTTTTATCGTGCACTCGGCAAATGGTATGCCGAGTGTCAAATTTGACACTCGACAAAAAAAAAGTAGTTTGCCGAGTGTTTTTCCAAAATACACTCGGCAAAGGATTATTGTTTGCCGAGTGTTTTGGGAATTACACTCAGCAAACCTATTTTCCAAAGAAAAAATAATTTTTTTCTCAGCATACAATTATTGTTTGCCGAGTGTTTTTGGGAATTACACTCGGCAAACCTATTTTCCAAAGAAAAATAATTTTTTTTCTCAGCATATTTCATTCACCTTGAAATTGAGGAAGGCCATCACTAAAAAGAAGAGAGAATTCTTTATTTGACACTGGGAAAATGAGTCATTTCTTTCTTGGCCCTGAAATTTTCTTCGTTCCCTATTTGACACTCACTTCAACTTTCATCCATAATTTGACACTACCGTCAAATCCGTTAGCTAACGGTGTTAACTGGCTGTTAAAAAGACGTTTTTGTCCATAGAAAAAAGTGGCGAAGCAAATTTGAGAGGAAAAAAAAACCTGCGCCTTTTTTTACAGCTGGGCGCATGCATCAGAGGCGGGCGTAGGTTTTTTTTCCTCTCAAATTTGCTTCGCCGCTTTTTTTTCTAGGGGCTAAAACGTCTTTTTAACACCAGTTAACACCGTTAGCTAACGGATTTGACAGTAGTGTCAAATTAGGGATGAAAGTTGAAGTGAGTGTCAAATAGGGAACGAAGAAAATTTCAGGACCAAGAAAGGAACGATTCATTTTCCCAGTGTCAAATAAGGAATTCTCTCTAAAAAGAATGCACTCCATGTTATATTCATGCAGTTTAACATCGTATGTCCTCCAACAACATAATATTTTGTTCATCCAATGAAATGATCCGTAGTTTTGCCAAGAAAGGTCACTGCAGTGACTACACATAGCAACAGTTCTGAAATCTTAGCCAAAAATAGCAGCCAAAGAAAAGAACAAATGAACCTCAGCAAATAAGAAAGCCTCAGCCCACTGCATATGCACAAAGCCTCATTTATAGGGAAAATGTAATTAATCATAGCATAGTTCCCAAAGCCTCAGCAAATAAGAAAGTAAATAGGAATCACGATATAATTCCCATACCTTAGTTGAAAAGGAATCAAATAATCATCGCATCATATCTTTTCCAAAACATCATTGGCAGTAACAAGTATGCTCAAATTAACTGACGTGATATAATTGACAAAGTATGCAATGTTGACTTCTAGTGAGAGAGGAAACGAGGGGATCTATTCATTTTCTTTTACCACAACAGGAGCACTTGGAAGCCAGACATTGAGCAGATCATGGGGAAAAGAATGAGGGGAAGTAGATCTGTGGTCCTACAGACCCAAAGAACAGATTTTAACCTTGGGAATCTAGGAAATAAGTGAACAAGCAAGCATCAGTCGACATGGCAGATGATAGGAGGAAACTGAAAGAGAAGAGAAATCACCTGGCTGCGGGGGATGGAGTCGTCGGTCATGACCTTCTCTGTGGCCGGGGAGAGAGCGGTCATCGGGGACGAAGCCAGCCAGGAGGTTGTTGGTGGAGGCGTTCTTGGCAGCCGGGACGGAGCGGAGAAGACGAGCGAGACACAGGGGAGACGGCGGCGTTCTTGATGTAGGATATCTGAGCGTTCTTGGCCCGCTGGTGGTGCACCCAACGACCCGATGCGCCGCCGCAGCCTGCTGCCGCCCGCACCCTGCTTCCCCACGCGGTGTTGCAGCCTCCTTGCACCTAGCGGCCCACCACGGCTGCCACCGGCTACCGCCAACACCAGCGCCCAGATTCGGCCGCCAGCACACCCACGCACCACCACCACCACCACTACGCCAGCACCACGAAGTCCGCCGCCACGCCGCCCGCCGCCCGCCGCCCGCCGCCCGCCACCACCAGAGCCCAGATCCGCGCCGCCATGCCGCCGGGAAAGGAGGGGGAGCTGGATCTGGGCAGAGGGCGTCGGATCCGGCGAGGGGGGGGCGCCGGGGAAGGAGGGGGCCATCGGGAAAAGGAGGGGGCCGTCGGGGAAGGAGAGGCAACGCCGGGGAAGAAGGTAGGGGAGGGGGAACCGGGGAAGAAGGGAGGGGGGGGGAAGAAGGGAGGGCCCGGATCCATGGCGTGGAAGAAGGGAGGAGGGGAGGGGAGGTGCCGGATCCGGTGGGGAAGAAGAAGGGGAGGGAGGGGAGGGGCTGGATCCGGCGGGGAAGAAGAAGGGGAGAGAGGGGAGGGGCCGGCCGCCGGCGCGAAAGAAGAAGGGGAAGGAGGGGAGGGAGAGAGGGGGCGGCACCAGCCGCCGGATCTCACCGGTGGGGAGACGGCGCTGGGAAGCGGGAGGGGAGGGGCCGCGCCGGGGAAGAAGGTAGGGGAGGGAGGCGGCGCCGTCGGGAGGAGAGGGGGCGCTGGGGGAAGGGAGGAGAGAGAAGGGGTGAGGACGGGAGGCGTGGGGTGCTGGGGACGCGGTTAAGTAATGTTTTTTTTGTTTGCCGAGTGTTCTAGATGGGGCACTCGGCAAAGTTTTTTTTTCTCCTTTTTTTTGCCGAGTGTTCTAGATCTGAGCACTTGGCAAAAAAAATATTTTTTTCTTCTTTTCTTTTCTAGAAAAAATATTTTATTTCTTTGCCGAGTGTTTTTTTTAACACTCGGTAAACCACCTCTTTGCTGAGTTTTTTTTTTGACACTCGGCAAAACGCTCTATTTGTCGAGTATTCTTTTTTGCCGAGTGTTTTTATCGTGGCACTCGGCAAAGAACTTGTTCACCGAGTATCCGAAGGAATACACTCGGCAAATATAAAACACTTGGCAAATTTGAGGATTCCAAAGTGGAGCGGTAGCTTTTGTTTTTCTTACTATACTACTGTTTTCGGTCTTACCATCAGTCAGATCACGAACCGGGGCGAGAAACTGTGACCGGCCATTGATCGGTCATCGGTCGATCCGCAGAATCCATGCGAAGGGGGGCGCGGCAGACGCTCGATCGTTGCACGCACGCAGTCGCCGGACGCCAGTCGGCCACCGCGCGTGTTCCGTGTAGTACCCCGGTGGCATGGCAGATCGTATGCCTGCCTGCTGGACGCTGGACGCCGGTGCGCCAGCCGCAGGCCCAGGCGTACGTCGCCGCAGCGGTGGCCGGGGAGTTTAACTCCGCGGACTCGCGCTGAAATCTCAAGGGATCGTTTTCGGGCAGGCTAGCTGAGATCGAGCCGATATCGGCGAACAGTCTGGCGGCTTTCATTCCGCGGTCAGGGTTCAGGGGCTCCGGCGCGCCATGGCTGTGCGTACGGTCCAGTACGAGAGGGTGGCCGGGGAGTTTAACTCCGCGGACTCGCGCTGATCGACACGCGAGCGTATATCATTGGATGCTCATGGTCTCCATCGACGCCCTGCGGCCGGCCTTGGCACTTGGCAGGCGGCCGGGACCGGGCGTCCGAGGCGTGATGATGCATGCGGTGGCCAGCCCGCCGGGCGCCGGCCGGCTCGATCTCGTATCCCGCCGCGGGGTGTGTGGGCGTCGGGGCAGTACAGTACGTCAGACCGTCCGGCCGGCCGGGCTGATTGGTTGACTAATGACGCGCGCCATGCATAGCTGTGCGTGCCTGCGCGCGGGCGCATGCATCGGCCGGATCTCGCATGCCCTGTACCTAGCTACGCGCGCTGCGCGGGTGTCGGGCGCCGGCCGGCGGGGGCGGGCCATGCGCTGCACTGTACAGTGCGCGCGCTGCTGCATTGGTGGAAACAGTGGCGCGTGCAATGCGTGGGTGTGCGGTGCTTCAATTCGTGTGTTCGCTGTGGGGCTGCGGCCGAGGGGCGAGGGCACCTGCTGGACGTACGCGATGCGTAGTTGCGTTCCTGTGCGCCTTCATTCGCGCGCTGTGTGGCCTGTGCAGCGCTGGCGGCGTTGCACGCTTCTCGGCAACAGCATCGGTGGTCGAAACTGGCAGAGTGAATGACTACACTGCGGGAGATCAGGTGGTGGAGATGTCCAGGTAGGATTTATTTTTTATCTCTCAATTGCTTATATTCTAATACAATGTTCAAGTATATATACTTTCTTAACTATTTTTGTTCTGATAGAAGTCAGTTACTAATCCATATATACTTTTTATTCAAATTTGTAGTTATCCACTTCGCATATCACCTACTTGATCCATGCTTTATATGGGTTTATTAAACTGAAACTATTTTCTAGTGTGTTCATATTATATATGGATCATAATACTTGTAGATATTTATCATCCTTATCATGTTGTGATATACTTTAGTTACTAAATAATTTATATACTTCTCAATTCTCATTATTTATGTTTTCGCTTTTGCATCGCAGCTCCGTGTGTGTTTTACTTATGTTCACTTGAAAGTTGAAACACTCTCATGTGTGTTTGTATTGAATCGAACACACATGTATGCATACTTTTAACCTTTATCCACTTTTGTTATAGAATTTAGTTACCAATCAATTCCTTTTCATCGGCATCAATATTTTTCTCCTCTATGTTGCATCTCCATTTGTGTCCGAAATGTATTCAGTTCAAACATTAGCTTCAACTATATATTTTGCATCATGGGCATATGTATATATATGGTTGTATAGTGGCACATATCATGCATGTATATCTTGAGATCGTTTTTCCTTTTATCGACAATGGCATAAATGGACAATTTATAAGCATATGTGAAAATGCTTTGGGCATCTTTATTTCATAATGACATAAGTAATTCAAATTTGAGAGTTACTTTGGGTTACTTTAACAGTGGAGATGGATAATTTAGTTGCAAATTTAGTGGTGCTTTCTATACCAATCAGAAGGTTATTCAACCCTGAAATCAAGAAACCCTAGTATAGTATGGTACATCATGTTAGAGAAAACCTAGTATAGTCTAGTATTAAATTTAGCCATTTAGGAGGTTATTTTTTAAAAGGACGGCAAGAAATTTCCCATGTTTTTTATTAGGAGAAAAACAAAATACAAGATATGCAAAACCAATAGTCGTCTCAACTCACTACCGGAAACAGTAGCTTTGTCGTGGGCCACAGGCACACGCCAAAGCCCAAAAAACACTCGACAAAGGATTTGCCGAGTGTAACACTCGACAAACAGCACACGACATATACATGACGGCAAACGTCTCTTTGCCGAGTGTTTTTTATCGGGCACTCGATAAATACTTTGCCGAGAGCGGAAACCGACGCTCGGCAAAAAAAAGTAATGTGACGGCACGTTTGCCGAGTGTCCGTGATTTGACACTCGGCAAAGCAGCCATGTTTGATGAGTGCCCCAGCCCTAACACTCGGCAAATATGCCCTGGTTTGCCGAGTGTCCAGGCACTGACACTCGGCAAACATGGCTGATTTGTCGAGTGTCAAATCCCGGACATTCGGCAAACATGGCTGCTTTGCCGAGTGTGTGTCAATCCTTGACACTCGGCAAAGACTGGCCCAAAATGTATAGATTTTGGCCACGTGTCCTCTTTGCCGAGTGTTTTTACCTTGGCACTCGGCAAAATGCCTCTTTACCGAGTGTAACACTCGGCAAAGCGACCATATATTTCCAGTTTTTATGGTTCGGTCACGTATAACGTACCCCACTCAAATAAACATTATATGCATCACACATAGTTCATAATAAGCATCACAGGTAGTTCATATAGATATATCAACAACACATAAATACAAATAAACTTCAGAATCGTAAGTAGGTTCATTCACAACCACAAATGCAAATAAAATTCACTGAGCGCAATGGTGTCCACTGAGTAGTCACAAGTAATCCACAAATGCAAATGCAAATAAAAGCACAAGTAGTCACTGAGGAGGCCAAGGTGTCCACAGTGACCATGCTAGGTCATGAGGCTCATTTGATGCCGCTGATTGATTATGTACAAAGGAGAAGAGATAAATCATTATAGTTTCTAGTTTATTTCTAGTTTGTAAACTATAAATCATTCTAGTTTCTAGTTTATTTCTAGTTTCTAGTGTTTGGGCATCTTTGTAAGATTGATTCTGCATAAACTAGAAATGGTGATTATAAAGTTGTGAAGTGACTCGTAGTGTCTGAAACAGTATTTGGAGCAAGTTGAAGAGGAGGGACTGGCATCGGTGGCGGAGGTTGACCGATTGCAGCATAAACACCCCTCATATATTCAAACATCTGCAGTCGCTCTGCCTCCATCCTCTGCCGCTCTTCGTCAACCAAATGAACATCAGAGATGCCTTGTATACTGGGCATGAGAACTTCCCATGAACACACCAGCCGTAGAATATCCCATACGCCGAAAAGTCATGTAGGGAGTACTGGTACCAAACATGCATTTTGAAGTTTGTCTTTGTAGCTCGGTCGTATGTCCATACCCTTTCCTCCCAAGCACGGACCAAATCATCAATCAGAGGCTTCATGTACACACTCATATTATTCTTCGGGTATTCAGAAATTATCAATGATAAAAATATGTTCTGTCATTGAAAGAGAACGACAGGGGGGAGATTGAGAGGGATAACGAACATGGGTCAACAAGTGTATGAGGCAGCCGCCATTCCATAAGGATTGAACCCATCTGTTGCCAGCGCAACACATACATTACGAGCCTCTAGAGCTTTCTCACGATGAATCGTATCAAACTTTGTCCATGCTTCACCATCGAATGGATGCACCAGCTTCTCAGGATTGTATCGATGTCCGTATTTGTGCCATGTCATCTATTTCGCGGATTCCTCAGTCATATAAAGTTGTTGGATCCTCGGTATGAATCGAAGGTACCATAGGATCTTCACGGGGACGGCGAGCTGCCTCTTCTTATCATCACCAGAGTCTACCACTAGGACCCTAGAGGATTTACACTTCACACAGTACTTTGCTTCCACATGTTCTTTCCTAAATAAGATGCATCCCTTCGGACAAGCATGTATCTACTCATATGACATCTTAAGTGCATGAAGGAGTTTCTGTGCCTCATACATGCTCTTTGGCAGGATGTGACCATCCAGGAGCAGGCTACCAAAAACTATCA